CTGAGTTGTTGTTGTTTCCACAGGTATGTTCAATAATTTGTTTGTCCTTCCTCATCTGGAATAATAAGTGTCTTAAAATACATATTTTGATGAAAATGACACATATTCCTCTTGCAATTTCGTAAAAACTGGCCGTTGCCTTTAGTTAGGAAATATATTTTATGAAAGTTAAATCATACTTTGTTTTATTAAAATCTGAGCTATTCGTGGGAAAAATGTGCTAGATGTTGTAATTGACAAATATATGCACTTGTGAAGTGAAAATGTCATGTTATCACATGCTTATGAAATTGCTCCTGTATTGGTTTGTTATAAAGTAAAAATTGCTGCAAAAATGCTTTTGAGAATGTTCAAGTATTGGTTGTTATGAGCTAGGAAGTGCCGTATTGATTTGTTCAGTTTTAAGAGTCTAACGGCAATCCTGAATATAGGCATGCTTGCTTTGTGAAATTCTGTGGTGATATGGCATATAAAAAAAAAATCTTAAAATTTTGCCCATTGCCTCTCTCCGAAATATGGCTTAAAACTATCCTTGTTAATCAACCTCATGGAAAAGTTAGTGGGTATGCTGGGAAAAATGCGCGCCGTACTTTTTTTGGACGCTGAAGATGGTAACATTTGATGTTGTCATATATTGCCATCCTCTTATCATAGCATAACTTAACTTATTTTAGTGAGTTTGTTAAAGAATTCTGCGCACTATATGCCTGTAGTATCTAAGATTTTTTCATAGCATTATATGACAAATTTAAGTTCTGTTTTCTTTTATTTTTAGGTGATAGTATCTGTTCACTTGAGTGTTGGTATCAAATTTTGGACAAGGTTCAATTATTATTTCACATTCCTTTAGTCAAATATCCAAATAATGGAATATGACATCAAACTGGAGGACTAGATTCTGTTTCCAAACTTGTTTTTGTAAAAATAGAAAATAAAAACTTATTATGTGTTGTTCTAATTAAAACTATTGTTTTTGATATGCATATTTAATTTTTAAAATTACAGTCATTGATTCTTTGTTAAAATGTGTACCAGGAATACTGAAATCTTTCAGATCAGCTACCAATTCCCTTTATAACTTATGTACCCAAGTGTTCTATCTATTTCTGTTCAGATTAAACAAATGATGGGTAAAATATTAGTTTAGATTCTTTCAAAAAATATGAGCCTGCCTATTTTGAAAGAATGAAAAGCGATAAAATAAAGCAAAAGTCATTATTTTTAATTTAAAACCTTTGGATTGTATAGCTTAATGTTTTCCACTAAATATTACAAAGTTTTCGTTCATTAAAATGTTGTTTTATCAGCTTTAAAACCAGATAAATCCACGAAGCACTCATAATATATGTCGCCATATTGATTTACACTGCCCTACAGGCCCTTTACACTGGAAAAAACCGATAGTGAAATTCATAAATTCATACTATGCATGAATTTGCGATTGCGTCACTATAGATCCATAGTATATCCATATTATTTCCATACTACATCCATTGTATATGGAAATTGCGATTTGTATTAAAATTGGATTTCCATGCTATTTTCAACTAAGTTCCATACTATTTCCATAGTTAAAATTTGGAAAAAAATTTATAGTGTTATTCCTAAAAAGTTCTCTTTCTTACACAGTGTAGAGACATGTTTTACTGGCCTCAAATGTAACTGCATGAGAAAACAGGAATATGTGCTCCTGGAGAAAACCCGTAGTGTTTTGTGGAATCAAATTACAAGTACTTTTCTAACATGTCAATGAGGTGATATTATATTGAGCAGGGCTTCTTAAAGAGGCAGAAAAAGGATCCTAACTAGGAGTTATTACAGAACGGGAAAAGTATAGGATCGTATAAAGGGCTCTGGGGACTTGTATTGTTGAGCCTCCGGGGCGTAATATTCAGCATTCTTATACAAACAATTTTTGGCATATTCCTTTCCCTAGACAAAGGTTTGAATACTAAAACACAGTTAACGTAGATATTCTTCCCTTTTGAACTTATATTTTACAGAAAGGACCTTCACTTGGGGGGTCTCTAGAAGGGGGCAACATTGGGGCTTGCACCCCCAGCCTATATCCCAGCGGGCAAAATGACGTTTATCCAACGTTGAATCAACGTTGGAAATGACCTTCCAGACGTTGGATAGACGTTGAAAAAGGGTTGACTACTGTAGCTGTATGCAAATTGGATCGACGTTACTATTTCGACGTTGAAACAACGTTGAAATTAGGTTGCCAATCTCGTCAACCATAATTCAACGTTGAATCCACGTTAAAACAACGTTGAGATTGGTTCACAAATCGACGTCGTACATTTAACCATGAATGAACGTTGATTCAACGTCTGTTGGCTGCTGTTGAACCAATGTTTTTAAAACAACGTCAGAGCAACGTAGATATTAGGTTGTCGACGTCGCAACCTTTTTTTTTACCAAATTTCAACGTTGAAACAACGTCGTGTGCCCGGTGGGATGTGCTAATAGAGATATTATAATGCCTGATAAATCTGGAATAATCCACGATGTTACGTTATCTTGCATGATCTTATTAATTAAGAGGCAATTTTTTTCAATGTCACGTATTTGCAATGAAAAGTGTTCAAAACCTAAAATCTTTTTGGCGTTCCTCTCAAAATTACTTTGTCTTAGCTTTATTCTCTAGTTTATAGAGTTAGCGTTTGAGAAACATAAAATAATAGTTAAAAATTGTCAATTAAAATACAATTATCAATGATGCTTTAAAATTGACGCCATATTTACAGCCATATAAGCAAAACTTACCGAACTTCAGACATCATTTTCTCTTTGGTGTACCATATAAAATCTCTTCATTTTAGTATTATTTTACAGATAAAGTATTAGACATACTTTTTAAGTTTGTTTGCCGATTGAGAAACGTATCGAAAAATAAAAATGTTGAATTTAGTCAGAACCTCAAGTGATATATTATACGCAGTAGTTTTGATCGCGTGTTACGTAACATACAAAAAAATCTCCTCTTAGACCTCCAGAACTTGGCTGCCTTGGCCATTCAGGATTGTATATGCTGTGTCGGATAATGTCGCATTGTAAATGAAATTTGAAATCTGAAGTGTATTTACCTGTACTGCATATGAACAATTTTCTTCTTTAAGAGGATGATTTTGGAGGATTAATTCATTTGAAATTCATCATAAATCAAACTACACAAAAGGAGTGATCTCGAAATTAAAACTCTGGCAAAGGAGGATAAGAGATGATGAGGTTCGCGACAAGCGAGAGTTTGGATCAGAGTTTTCTCAACTCTAATGCCCCGGTCGAAAAAGAACAAGAGTCACATGAGAGTTGATCAGAGATTATCAGCCGAACGAACCAAAGCTCACATTAACTCTCATACTCGTTTGACCTGTGTTTGATAAACAGAAGATATATTTAACATATCGTGAGAATTGATTGACGATTTTTCGTACTTGGCTTTGAAATACTGTAGATCGAAAAAATTGCAGTAAATCAAAAATAACGGTAGCGTTTCATGAAGTAATAATAAGGAAAGCTGATCCATGCAATGGAACCAATGAACACCCATGCATGCAAATGAGATAACATAGTCTGCAATTCAGAAAAGATGCTTGGTGAGGACCGGCTGAACACCTTCAGTTATCAGGTAGTCGGCAAAATATTGAATCCCAGTCGGCAAAACATGGATTTGCATAGGAAGGAAAAAATAGAATAGTCGAGCGACACCGATTAAAAATTAAGAATGATAGCAAAAATGTGGAGAAATTTATGCATGAAAAAATTAGGGTAAAATGAAGCGAAGAACGGTGGTTAAACACAAGATCGATAAGATTGAGGAATATGACGTGGGTGTGGTAGATTTTCGTTCGATCCCCACAATAAGAGCAAAATTACGCGTTTTTCTTTTGTTTTGTATTATAATCCCTTCCCAAATCGCTCCCAGTTACATATATTCCCCATGCAATAACAATTAACAACATTCCTTTTATCTCATGCCTGTCAATCAATTTCCATATATGGCAGTCACCTCATCTCTAAATTTAACTACTAATTATTAATGTCAACCTTTTTCCCGACACACTCCCCCTATTTAGAACGTAAGTTTTAAATATAACTTATCTGTCTTATATACACACGAACGTCTACACGTATTCACCGTCTCTACCCATCACAGTTCTTCCTCTTCCTGATCATAAATTAGTTCAATGTTCTTCCTTGCATCGACAGCCGCTCTACGCTTCGGTTTGAACTCCTTTGCAACAGGATTCAATGGAACAGTTTCTTGATTACTTTCTCTATCACAATGCAATTCCAAAGGGTAAAGAAATTGTATTGGTCTTTCCATGAATGATTTTCCTGCACGTAGTCTAACTCCACGAACCACTCCGTCTCTTCCGGGTATAAGTTGTTCAACAATCCCAATTTTCCACAGTCTACGATTCTTTTCATCACCTTTGATTAACATAACATCACCCTTTCGTAGCTCTCTCTCTTTCCCGTCATGTGTTAAATTATGCCTTTCGCGAAGTGCTCTCATGTATTCTCGTTTCCATCGTTGCCATAACGCGTCCTTACATTTCTTCAAATATCTCGCCCTCTTTCGCAGGTCTCGTTCTTCTATTTCCTCAGGTGATAACTCCATAAGATAATTGGCTTTACCGAAGATCATCATGTTCGGCGTCAACACGGGAAGTTGAATGTCATCCTCGCAGTACGATAGTGGTCGATTGTTCAATACGAGCTGGATATCTAGCATCACGTCTTGCAATTCTTTGAAGGTAAGTTTGGCCGATCCTACGACCTTGTAAAGAGCTTGTTTCACTATGCTGACCATTCGTTCGAACATTCCACCCCACCAGCTAGCTTTGCTTAGATTGAACTGCCATTTCACACCATGTTCACTCAGATAGCCTTGTAACTTTTCGTTCCGTACGACTTTCTTGATCCATTTGGCAGCAGCCACGAAAGTCTTTCCATTATCGGATATGATCTTCTTCGGACGACCTCTTGCTGCGATAAATCTTTTAAAACTCATCAGGAACTCTTCACAGCTCATGTTTGGCAGAATCTCCAAGTGAAGTCCTCTAGTTAAACTGCAGGTATAGATGAGTATATATGACTTACGCTCAGCTCCCCCATTTCCCTTGTAATAGATTGGTCCGGCATAATCGACACCAGTTACTTCGAAGGGGATTTCACCTTCAGTTCGTTCTTTTGGAAGATTCCCCTGAGGTGGAGCGGGCATCGGCGTTGTGTAAAATCGTTTACACCCATAGCATTTACCAATGACTTTCTTCACTAGACTTCGCAATGCAGGGATCCAATAATCGTCGCGTACTTTACTCATGGTTAACCCAACCCCGCCGTGCAGAGTGTAAAGATGTGCACGTTCGACAATCTTCAGAGATAGGAGGTGATTTGATGGCAAGTAAATTGGATAAAACCCTTGAATTCTCCCCTTACACACGTAAATGCCTTCTTCATTTTTCTGGAGATTCAATCGTTGAGAATGTTCTTTGAACTGAACAGAATTTTCACCGTCCTCTTGAGCTCGTTTAATCAGAAATTTCAATTGTTCCTCAGTCTCTTCAGTCGTTAGTGGTCCGCTAATTCTTTTACTTCTTCGACAATTGACAGCAAATCTTTTGATCCATGCCAAAATCCGCACAGTTTTCCATAGGGTTGTTTTCGCTAAAAGGTCGTCAAAGACATCTGATTTTCTTTGAACAGCAGCTTTCATCACGGTCTTGATTGTGCGACTTTCGGACTCCGACACATCAGAAGGTTTAGCAACAATCTGTTCCGGCCAGCTGTCGGAATTGTTCAGCCATGAAGGACCGCTCATCCACATTTCGTTAGTTTCTAAGTCACTTGATCCCCGACTACCGATATCCGCAGGATTCTCTTTACTAGGCACGTATTTCCAAACGATTTCTTCCTTCTCGTTTATTTTCTCTACCCGATTGGCCACGAATTGTTTATATCTTCCCTGACCTTGGATCCATTGAAGACAGACAGTAGAATCAGACCATGCGAATACACCGGCAATTTGTATATGACTAAGAACTTTGAATGTGTTGTGTAGGAGGTTACTTAGCATGTGGCAACTCACTAACTCCAGGCGCGGAATAGTCAAGTCCCGTTTGGCCAATCTTGTTTTCGAAATCAGGAACCCTTGACTAATCACTCCAGCTTGCTTGATAATAGCGTAGATCACAGCGCAACAACCAAGAAGGCTCGCATCTGCGAATCCATGAAGAATCAATTCGACAATCACACCGATTTCTCTAGGTATTGCTCTTGGCATCTTCAACTGGACAGGTAAATTCTTCAACCATTTCTCCCATCGCCGCTTTAGTTCGTCAGGTAGATCTGCATCCCATCCCAACTTAGAATCACAGACATCTCGAAAGATCACTTTGGCCGTGAGTAGAATAGGAGCTGCTAATCCCAGCGGATCATAGATTTTCGCCATAGTTCTCAGGACGATTCTTTTCGTAACTTCATTTTCGTTTGGTGGAAATGTCACTGACAAAGTGTCTTCTGATTTGTTCCAGCCTAATCCAAGAAGTTTGGTCTCCGATGGTGTTGTCCCTAGACTTTCCTTCGCATAGGTAGTTTCTCCATCTTCCTTTACATCACTTTCTAATTCTGCGGCGTTCGAATGCCATTTATGTAACATGAACCCACCTTCTCCCAGGATTTTTACAGCATCTTCTTTAATTTCTCTCGTTTCTTCCACTGTGTCGCTTGCAATGTTTATATCGTCCACGTATGTACCATCTTTAAGCTCTCGGACACAAATCGGATGATCTTGTGAGTACTTCTCTAGGTGAACGTTCAATGTCCCTCCAAGAATGAATGGACTTGGACCCAGACCAAACATAAGTCTTGTCATGCGGTAGATCTTCTCTTCTCTGGTGTGCAAGTTATTTATCCACAGGAACCTTAAAGCGTCACGTTCGGTTTCTCTGATAACAATCTGAAGAAACGCTTGCTTTATATCTCCAGCTAATAGCACAGGTTTAACTCGGTTTCGCAAAAGGATATCTAACAACTTTCGTTGAAGTGGAGGGCCAATCTCTAGACAGTCATTCAGTGACGGACTATCTTCGTTAACCTTTGCGGAGGCGTCGTAGACGATACGAACTTTTGTTGATTCAGCTTGTTCCCGAACGACAGGTTTATGTGGAATGTAATGTTCGTGCTTCTCGTTTGGTTCTGTTGGTGCGATCTCTACAATTCCCTGTTCCACTTGGTCTTCGATAATTTGATGGTATGTCTCAAGTAAGGCAGGTTGTTTATCCAGTCGCTTCAGTAGTGACTGAAATCTCGGTCGCGCAACGTTGATGTTGGTTGGTAATTTGGGATGGCTAGCTTTCCATGGTAGTGCTGTCTCGTATTTTCCATCTTCTCTCCAAATTAACTGTTCTTTGAACTCCTCAAGCACGGTTGTTTGATCACCTTCAGGTCGATCCTTGAGCCCCGGAACATCTAAACTACAGAGTTCCATGTAGTCTTCATGTGTACTTCTCGTTAACATTAAATATGAGTGATTCATTTCCCGTCCCTGCGACATGATTGTCCACCCGAGTCTCGTTCTCTCAGCCACTGGTTTTCCATCATCTCCAACTTTAGCAGGTGTGGTTGTTTTGACTCGTGAATAATCACTAGCACCCAGTATCATGTGAACTGGCAACATTGGCTTCGTGTCAACATCGTCCATCTCTATGCCTTCAAGGTGTGAATTACTGGCAATAACTTCTCTATAACGTGGATTTTGCAAGGTCAGTAGCACTGGTCGATCAACACAATTCACTTCAGACGACATGCTAAAGTTTTTATTAATGTTTGTGATTTCAACATTGTAAACATCAATCGTCTTCGTAGTTGTATGCAACATCATCTCTATGGTTTTGATCTCTTGTCTAATTGGCTTCTTTTTTGTTAAGTTCGTCAACGTAGAAGATACATAAGAATTTCCTGAACCAGTGTCCAGTAACGCTCGACATTTTACTCCTTCTACTTCAACAACTACTACAGGATATATCACGTTGGATTGGTTCGGTTGGCACATTGTAGGGCTTGGTTCAGCTTTGTCACAAATGGATGTATGATGTTTACGTTGGCACTTGTAACATTGGGTATTACTTTTGCACTCTCTTGCTCTATGTTTTTCTCCCGCACAGTTGAAACACCGTCTCTTTATGCTTAGTATTCTCTTTCGCTGTCCGACATCGACAACTTTGGTACATTCCACTGATCTATGGTCGTCATTTTCACAATATACACATTGACGTTGTTTTACGTGATCTCTTGTTGCAAAGTGATTGTCTCTTTGCTTAAATTTTGGATGT